GATCACATCTTGTAAATTGTTTTTGTTGATTACTGTTCTACATTGTCAAAAGAGAAGATCATCGCGGTTCTACATTCGAGGGGGAGAATGCTAGAAGATCTTTCTCAACAGTTGATTACTTGAAGATTTCAAGTTGAAGATTTCTTTTGAAGATGACATAATGTGCTTAATGTTTCAAAGTTCAAACAGGAACTCAAAGTGCAGAATGACTGAAAATCAGTATTAATTGTGTTCGTCTTGAAAGTTAAATATTGTCTATAATTGTAAAAGTCATCGTGTTTGACTTTTATTAGACAGGTTTGACTTTGACTTGTATTAGTTGTTTGACCATATAAATAGTAGCTTGTCTTTGTAATTTGTAAGGTGAGAGCTCATTTGTAAGATTTCATACGTAAATAAGAGGTTTGACTGAATTGTAAAGTTTGACTTTTTCTCTCAATATTCATCTTATTGTTCTTACAAGAAATTATAGATCTGCCATATTATGGAGCTTCATGAAGATTGATCAGTCAATTGTGGGACAAACACATTCTCCGCCTTGTAATGCTACAATCTTTTCTGTAATCTTTTTATCTTACCAATAGCTCCCTCTTCCAGCTCCTCTTTCAACTTTAGAAACCTCTTCTTTGTCTTTCTTTCACCAACCTTTAACTGCTCCATCAAATCAGCCTGCATATCATCCATCTTTTCCACCATTTTAGCCGGTGGTCAAGCAAATAGTCCATTAGGCTGCTGCTTTGTGCGAATAGATCTTCCATCACTCTAGTCATCCCCGTATGCTCCCTTCCTCTATCATCTCACTCTCTTAACCTTGAGACTGCCTTCATATCAATGGACCATTTTTCTTCGCTTTCCTTGATCAGCAAGTCATCTGTATAATGAGGCACACCCGCTTGCAAAATAAGTTTGTTAAGTAGGCCCGGGAAAAATAATTTCCCTTGATTTCTCCATGAACAATATAGGATGGCCTTTTTAATCACTTCCCCCATATCAATTGATTTTCCCATCACTACACAGTAAAGCAAGATAATTCTCTCAACCGATATTGAACTATCATGAGTGGTCGAGTTGAGAGAATGTCGGATAAAGTTAACCCATACATTTGCATCGGGTGTCAAGTTGGAGGCCCGAAAAGTCTTTAACATATAGTTTCTATGGGAGTCCCATGTAGCTCTGGGCTTTCCTAACTCCCTACCAATCTCCTCTAGTTTGGCTTGGGAAGCATTTTGAGAGAGGGTACCGTACTCAGTTCTGGTCGGGGGTGAGAGGCCTAGAAGTTTTTTATGGCCTTAGCCGAAAAGCTCACCCTAACACCCCTTACTTTGAGTTTGGTGGTACTATAAACACAAGCCTCCGCATAAAACTCTTTAATTAATGTCAAGTAAAAACAATTCTTTACCTCATACAATACTTGCCATCCGTTCTTGTTGACCACATCCCGTATAAAACCAAACTCCTCTATGCTCCTTTAATCAAATCCCTTGTCCGGCAACACTTTCTTGTTCTTGAACTTTTCAAACATCTCTTACGCCTTTTCTGAACTAAACCCACCGAAAGGCATTTGGGGCCTCGGTATGGTTTAGATTTGGGCTTGGACTTCACCCCAGATGGACCGGCTGTTTTGGTATGTCTCGATGATCCTTTTTGGGGTGATTTTCATGGAACAAAGGCTGTGTGCCTTAATTGGATAGAAGGTGTCGGTGCTCATCTGGTCCTCGTTCTAGGAGGCTGTTTTTCCACAGCCTTGGACTTGGTTGCATAAACCTTTCCTAGCCCCTTCCTTTTCTTTGTGGGTATAGTTGTTATACCCCTTAAATCAGCTTCCAAATCCATTTCGATTGTTGGGGAATCAGTGGCTTTCTCCCCAATAGGTGGTGCATCATGAACAAACTCAATATGTTCTTCCTCAACAACATGAGGGACGGAATCAGTGAGAGCCAAGGATTTGTGAGTAGTGTGGTGATCAGGCCAAGTCAAATGGTAGACTTTTGTGTTACTCAAATCAGTTGGGGATGGTGTTTGCATTGGCATACAATCTTCTTCCTCCTCAGAGGAGTCAGAGGCCGTAAGTCCCTCCACCAAAAAATTAGGGCTCAAAAAAGGATTTACCTCAATACCCAAGTTAGGGTTTTCAATCACCGGCGAAATGGGAGGAGCAGTTTCCTCGGAGACAGTAGGGGTTGAGGATGGAGGAGCGTCGACGATTGGCGGAGGTGAGGGTGGACAGTCGGCCACGAGCTGCGTCGTTCGTCTTGCTCGTGGAGGAGAGTCGGCTATCAGTGGCATGACTAGCCATGGTCTAGGTGGTGATGGTGAAGACGGGGGAGAAGATGACGGACTGTTGGCGATGAGGTCCACCCAATCGGGCTCGCTTGTTCGTCGCGATGATGAGGCAGCGGCTCGCCGGCGGTGGTGGTGGGTCTTGGATGACTGGTCTCTTCATTTGGGCTATGATTTTTGCAATAGAACAGTAGTGTAGGTTAGATAATGTGATAAAATGATGATGTTCTTTGAGGTGTTAGTGACTGGAGATGAGATGGTTGATGGAGAGGCCGGTGATGATGGTTCTTGGGAAGATGAAGGGTCTCTTCTCAATTAAGTCCCCTTCTTTTCTTTTCTTTTGAAAATTGACGGTTAAGTGAAGAACCATTGGACAAAGTCGTTATTTGGAAGTTAAAAGAAACATATCATTATGGAGGGAGTGGGGTAATATTGCATGGGAGACAAAATCTTAAGAAAAAAAAAAACTGACAAAAATTCTTTTTTGATTCTTTCCAGGCGGCTGCTAATGTCACTATACCTTCCTTGATTTTCTAAAAAATTGCACCTAACTTCACATGTGAAATCTCAACAAGAATGCTACAGCATTAGCAGAGCATCAACTTCTCTTGACCATCTTTTTTTAAAATTAACCTGCGCATTAACAAACTTATAAAACATAATTGCCCTAATATATAGATATAAAAAGGAAATATATGTACAAACATCCCTGGACTTTGGAAAGTCCAAATACACCTTCATTTCCTAAGGTGTTGCCCAATTCTCAGAGCAATGCTCTGAGAATGCTACAACATCATGAAATGCCATAACTCGTTGCCCATTCACTTTAAACACCGTGTTGTCATCCGGGTTGATCAGGTCAACCGCTCCATAAGAGTAAACCTTATGAATGGCAAAGGGTTCAGACCACCTAGACTTGAGCTTTCTTGGGAATAGTTTCAACCTAGAGTTGAACAAGAGGATTTATGTCCTTCTTTCAACTCTCTGTGTTGGATTCTGTTATCATGCCACTTCTTTGTCTTTTTCTTATAAAGCTTGGCATTCTCATAAGACATTTTTCTTTGTTCCTCCATTTCACAAAGTTGTAACTTTATTTTCTTTCCAACTACACCCAAAGACATATTTAGCTCTTTGATAGCCCAATATGCTTTGTGCTCAAGTTCTAAAGGTAGATGGCAGGCTTTTCCATAGACTAGCTTGTATGGAGACATACCAATTGGTATTTTGAAAGCGGTTTTGTATGCCCATAAAGCATCGTCTAATTTGAATGCCCAGTCCTTCCTATTGGGTTTGACAACTTTTTTCAAAATGCTTTTAATTTCTCTATTAGAGAGCTCTACCAAACCATTAGTTTGTGGGTGATAAGTCGTGGCAGTTCTATGGTTAATATTTTATTTTTCAAGAACTCCTTTTAACAAATTGTTCACAAAGTGGGTACCCTCGTCACTAATTAGTGCCCTTGGGGTACCGAACCGTGTGAAAATTTGTTTTCGGAGGAACTTAACCACAACTTTGGCATCATTTGACATACATGTCATGGCTTCCACCCATTTGGATACGTAGTCAACAACCACAAGTATGTATTGGCAATTATTTGATGGAGGGAACGGACCCATAAAATCTATTCCCCATACATCAAATCATTCAACTTCAAGTATCCCATTTAATGGCATTTAATTTCTTTTAGAAATGGAGCCACTCCTTTGACATTCATTGCACTTCTGTGCAAAATTGTGGGAATCTTTAAAAATGGTTGGCCAATAAAAACAAGACTGTAGGACCTTCGTTGCAATTTTTTGGCCTCCAAAATGGCCTCCGTATGGTGCATGATGGCAATGCTGCAGGATTGCTGGCACATCAGATTCAGGCACGCATCTTCTTAAAATCTGATCTGCAGCAAGTCTAAACAAAAACGATTCATCCCACAGATAGGATTTAGCATCATGGAATAATTTTTTCAACATGTGGCCTATGTAATCAGAGGGTTTTATTCCACAGGCCAAGAAATTAGCTAAATCCGCAAACCATGGTGTTTTTGGTTGGTCTATCATGAGGATTCTTTCATCCGGAAAAATATCACTAATGTCCATTCCTCCTATCTCGGGTTCTTCTAACCTAGACAAATGGTCCGCTACTTGATTCTCTACTCCCTTTCTATCAAGTATCTCCAAGTCAAATTCTTGCAATAAAAGCACCCATCTTATTAACCTTGGTTTTGCATCTTCCTTTGAGATCAAATACTTGATGGCTGCGTGATCGGTATGTACAATTACCTTTGTTCCCATCAAGTAAGACCTAAATCTTTCAAAAGCAAAAACTATGGCCAATAATTCCTTCTCTGTTGTGGTGTAATTAATTTGTGCCTCATTCAAAATCTTACTTGCGTAGTAAATTGAATGAAACACATTTTCTTTCCTTTGTCCTAACACATCACCTACCGCCCAATCACTCGCGTCACACATAATCTCGAAAGGTTTGTTCCAATCAGGAGCAATTACCATTGGAGCGGTAACTAAAGCTTTCTTCAAAGTTTTGAACGCATTTATGTATTAATTATTAAAATCAAATTTTTGGTCATGTTGTAGGAGTAAACAGAGAGGTTTTGAAATTTTTGAAAAATCTTTGATGAACCTTCTGTAAAATCCGGCATGACCCAAAAAAGCTTCTAATTCCCTTAACAGTGGTAGGTTCGGGTAGTTTTTCAATAACTTCGAGTTTTGCTTTATCTACCTCAACCCCTCTTTTAGAAATTAAGAGTCCAAGAACAATTTCTTCCTTGACCATGAAGTGACATTTCTCCCAATTTAGGACCAAATCTGTTTCCACACCTTTCCAAACTATTTTTCAAAATTTTTAAACAATTGTCAAATGATGAACCATATACAGAAAAATCATACATAAATATTTCAATGGACTTTTCAAGCATATCTGAAAATATGGACATCATACACCTCTAAAAGGTGGCAGGAGCATTACACAGTCCGAATGGCATTCTTCTGAAAGCAAAGGTGCCATAAGGACAAGTAAAGGTGGTTTTTTCTTGGTCTTCGAGAGAAATGGTTATTTGATTGTACCCTGAATAACCATCCAAGAAACAATAGTACTCTTTACCGGCTAATCTGTCCAACATTTGATCAATAAAAGGTAGTGGAAAATGATCTTTTTGAGTAGCCTTATTTAGCCTCCTATAGTCCATGCATATTCTCCAACCGGATACAACTCTAGTGGGGATAAGTTCATTTTTATCATTTATGTGACTGTGAACCCTCCCTTTTTTGGAACACACTGGACTGGATTAACCCAAGAACTACTGGCTATCGGGAAGATAATTCCTGCATCTAGCCATTTCAAAATCTCCTTTTTGACTACCTCTTTCATGACAGTATTCAGCCTTCTTTGAGGTTCTATGGATGTGAAATTCTTATCCTCTAAGATTATCTTATGTTGACAAATGGAGGGACTAATCCCCTTAAGGTCAGCAATGGTCCATCCTAAGGCCTTTTTGTGCAATTTCAACATATCCACTAGTTTCTTTTCTTGATGCAAGTCTAGGGTAGATTGATGATGACAGACAATTTGCCTTATTCTCCTAGAAAAGCATATTTCAGATGGGATGGGAGTTGCTTCAACTCCAAATCAGGTGGTGATATAATGGATGGGGTGAAGTCTTTTTGCTCATTATTTTCCAGCAGATCAAATGCTGCAGCATCCACTGGGACAATATCAGTTCCTATTTCCTCTATTTCCTCAACACTTTCCTATTCTATTTCCTCATTACACTTTTCTTCTATTTCCTCATCACACTCCTTTTCCAACTTAAGGTTTTTCTGAATTCCTTCTTCAAAGCACATCTCCTCTATTTCAGCTATTCTTGAACACTCTTCCAAGTAATCAGGGTACTTTAGAGAGTTGAAGACATTAAATATGACTTTTTGGTCTTGAAGTCTCATGGTCAACTCTCCTTTCTGGACATCTATCAGAGTTCTTCTGGTGGCTAGAAATGGTCTTCCTAAAATAATAGGAATGTCCTTATCTGCCTCAAAGTCTATTATGATAAAGTCTGCCAAAAATATGAACTTATCAACTTGCACTAACACATCCTCAATCTTTCCCTTAGGGTATGCAATGGATTTGTTTGCCAACTGGAGTGTGGTAGGTATAGCCTCACCTACGCCTAAGGTATTGAAAACAAATAAAGGCATGAGGTTGATACTAGCACCTAGGTCACATAAGGCTTTCCCTATCTCCTTCCCTCCTATTGAACAAGGAATGGTAAAACTCCCTGGATCTTTAAGATTAGGGGGTATGCTATTGGTCAAAAGTGCACTACATCCTTCGCTAAGGGCTACAGTCTCATATTCAGTCTACTTCTTCTTCTTACTTAGGATGTCCTTCAGAAACTTAGCATAACTAGACATTTGCTCAATTGCCTCAACAAGTGGGATGTTGATGTGCAATTCTTTGAACACATCCAAGAACTTCTTAAAGTGCAGTTCTTCTTTCTGATTCCTCATCCTTTGGGGGTAAGGAACATATGGAGGGACTGGCTTTATCACATTCTTGCTTGGATGTGTTGAGCAAGATGGGTCTTGAATGCCTTGAGTCTTTGTTGTGCCTTTTGGAGGTTCAGATGGGGTCTTAGTATCAAGCCTAGGGGTCTCTAAAACCTCAGTCTCTTCTGAATTTTTTAAAGCATCCTCAGGAAAGAGTAAAGGATAGTCTGATCTTGGGGGGACCGAAGTGGTGGTCTCAGATGCCAGCTTCTCTAAGGGTTGGACCGGTCTTTCTTTGGCAGGAACCAATCTTGTAGCATCAATTTCTGCCAAACTGGGTGTACTATATTTTTGCACTTTTTCTGTGAACTCCTTCCCACTCCTAAAGGTTACTACTTTCACATGTTTCTTTCCTAGGTCTCTAGGACGTCTGTATTACTGGGCAAGGTACCAAGGGCTCGATTGTTCTGGTTGAGCGCAAGTTGACTGACTTGAGTCTCTAAATTTTTGATGGCAGCACTTTGTTGATTAATCAAAGCTTGATTTTAGGCTTGTGTATGTGCAAAAAGTCCTTGAATCATTGCTTCCAAAGAAGATGATTATGCCTGTCGAGGAGGTTTGTTCTGAAAAGGTGGTTGTGAATTCTGAAAAGTTTGTGTGATAATTCTGCATTTTGGAATTTCAGGTTAGTACCTCATTTTAGGACCTTTATTGAAAACTAAGTCTTTCTAGGATTTAGCTTCGATGATCTACAATCATCTTGATCATCTCCCAAGATTAGTTTGTTAGGTCACGTTT